AAGAGCCCTCTGTGCCAACATTTCACGAAGTGGGGTTCATACAATTGCAGCACGCCAGTTGGTTGGTGTGCACCGAGTCTTGGATTTCAGCAAATGCTGAAAGCCCAAGGCCTCTGAGTTAGTTAGGCCCTGGGCACTCGAACGTGAGGCCGACAATGCATGCTGGGTAGAGAGGCCGAAAATGCCAAAGGGAAATCGGCCCACTATCTGAATCTGGCCACAGGCCTTGATGAAAGAGGCGCAACTGCATTGCCCCGGGGCCCAACTGTATCGAGTTGGCTTCAGCCTCTGGGCAGGGCAAGGGAGCAGGGATCTTGGCCAATGCTGGCATTGCGGGCACGCTGCGCGGATGCATGTGTGCTGCGCTAAGGTGGAGCAGGCCAGCGCTAGGCGGTAGGGCGCTGCCTGCATGCAAGGCACTGGCGGCCATAGCCGGGCCGCATGAGGGTGCAGAGAAGGGGTGAAGGGCGAAGGTGGTTCTTCGGAGGTGAAAGGCGCTGGGTGGGTACAAGGGAGAGTGTGGGTGAAGAGGACACGTACCTGGTGGAGGTGGAGGTCGGCATTGGTGTTGACATCATCACTCGCTGGTAGTCAAGTTGTCTGGTTGCTTTCATTGCTGTAGTTGTAGGCTAGGCTGTAGAGTAGATAGGGCGCCTGGCACCATTCACAAGAGAGAGCTACATTTGGGTTATGCTGTTGGTGTTGCCCTGTTGGGCATGGACATTGACTCACGATTCTTCTGTATCATTCTCAATGGGATGGTTACTCGGTTCCATGTGCTATCTGCTTTGGCTTTGACTACTTGGACTTCAGTGTGATTTTGCATTCTGGATTTCTATGCTTCGTCCATATTCATGTTCCTTGCTATTTGGTATCGGAGCTGGTTTGATCACCACTTACCTTTGGCACGCTGGCGTTATACAGACTTGGTGCGTTGACGATGCTTCTTCGCAGTGGGTACTTGTGACGTCAGGCTACTATAGGTGCACGCCCTGGGTAGAGAGGGGTGCACCAGAAGGCTATTACGGCAGTGTATGCTGTGGGATACAGCGGAATGTTTGATTGATGATGAGAGCATGCTGATGTGGCATTGGACTAAGGTGGCACTGCATTGCGTTGTGGGTGGTACCGAGGTCATGACCGGTCGTCAAATGCAACATCAACTCAATTGGTGAGAAATCTGTGGTTGGGGGCAGCTATCTCCAGGTATGTTGTTCCCTTACCTTATCTACTCTCTCAATCTCTTCTTACCGTGAGGAAGTGAGTCCAACTTTAGAGTCCTCTCTTTTGCCGAGGTGTCGTGAGCGCGCTACCTTGAGAGACGACAACCTTCCCGGAAGCATCTGGAAGGAGAAAGGGCGATGCCTCTGAAGGGCCCTGGTCGAAGCACTGGGGCACGGTCACCATGCCAACCCACAGGGAGTAGTGCACGCATGCGATGGCTGCTGTCCTGTTTGGCACTTGCTGCGCTAATAGAAGTTCCTCCGGGTGTGCCAGCCCATGACAGACGCTTACCAGACCGTCTATAAATATTTATGGTTGGGAGTTCATTGTGAATCTGGCTGTGATCGTCGTCCTGACTGCGACGTTAAAGAATTCTGAAGAGATGGGGGAGCTCTATAAATACCTCCTGATCAGCCAGATCACATGGACAGGAAGGCTCGTCGCCGTACGAGGGTAAATAAGAGTGGTTGGGCTGGCTTGCTCGGTGACAACTTGGGCACAGGGGTGGGCCGATTCACACACGAAGACACTGCTCGCTCAAGGATGCTGTTCGGTATGTTGGATTGAGGGGAAGGGTAGGTTCCAATTGGTGCTCAACTGTTTACACAACCATACCCATCAATCATACATCTGCTACATTGTCTTTTTGTACCTTTGATTAGGTGGTTGACGAACTGCTAACCTCACAGACAGATTAGTGTAGGACTGTTGTATGCTACCATAGCCAGTTCTAACTAATGTTGCTGTAAGTGAACCAATCAGGGTGCATCTAGACTATGTAGACAATCTGTGTGAATGTTGTAGACATGCCACTTGATTCGGTATAGTAGGGTACTCGCCGGACACAACTATTGTTAGAAAATTAGGTGCCGGTCAGATGCATGTTGTGGTAGGATTCCACTAGGGGATTCTAGTGCAGAAACTATCTGCCTAACTAATGAGTGGGTCAGATCCTGTTGATGATAGAGTTGACAATAGGAGGCTAACACGTGCAGAGGCACTAAGGGTACCGCACGTGTTCCAGGCCCTACAACCCGAGAGAAGAAAGACGGCTTATAGCCAAACGTAGAGCCCGTGCTCTAGCAGCAGGACTACAGGAAGCAAACAGAGTAGCAAGAGAGCGGGCAACAGCAGCCAGAGCAGCGGCGATGGCTAACGGTACCAACTCTGCTGCGTCATCGTCTGCATCCTCGTCAGGGACTAGTGGGAGCCAGTTGGGAATGCCAATGAGTTCCACAAGTTCCGCGGGCACTTCCGGTTCAACAGGGTCTAGACAGTCTTCTAGTCAAATGGCGGGCTCGCAGTTCAGCCCGTTGACCCCACGTGAGAGGGAGCTCAGGGAGATCCGACAGGTCGAGAGGCTCCGCCAGCAGTTAGAGGAGGATCTGAAGAGAGCTACCGATAGAGAAAAAGAAATAAAAAGTAGAGCGGCCAGACTTGATACGTTAGAGGCTGACAAGGCTGCGTTAGAGGGATTGGAAGAAACAGGTTTGTCTGACCCCCTGAAAGTGTTGAAGAACAACATGTTGTCACTGCATGCGCACGTAGACAGCGGGATGGACTTCATGCAAAGCACTTTGGACCACCAGCACAATCGCCGTTGCCGTTAATGCTTGGTGGCCTGAGGGGGGGTCGAGGGGGTTGGGTCGCCTCAATGCTGTAGTCAGGAGACAAGCAGGAACCACAGCAGGAGGACCTGAACACCGGGCAACTGGAAGTGATCGACAGAGACTATCACCTCATCTTCAAGCAATGGACCAAGGTGGACCCATGTATCCCAGACCCCTTCCTGCCACATGCTCTCGCTCTGATGGAAGTGGAATGAAGCTGCACACGGTCGACAGACGATCGACCCGCTCCTCTCGTGCGCAGTCAAAGCCTGCCCCTTTGTTATGGCTGTGATCTTATGTCCTTAAGCCGAAGCCGGGTAATGGCCCCGATCCTGTTTATATAAGGGACGCTGGACTCGGGGCTGCTCATATCACCCAGGGCAGCAATAACAACAGGCGTGAACGAAAAAAAAAGAAGATAATTATAGTGGCAGTCAACATAGCCCGCAAAAGAGTTACCAGGACCTAAGAGCTCAACTGCTACAATACGTAGAGTTCATGCCTGAGCAGCACCACATAGGTGCCGGGGTCTAATCCTGTTGCCGTCACTTTCGGTGGCCTGAGGAGGATGGCCAGGGCCAGTCAATGCTGGTAGCTGGCTGGGGTGAGTTGTGCCACCCTGTATCCCGGGGCAATGCAGGAGCGCCAGGTGGAAGTGGCTGCTCAGGTCCTGCTGCAGCCGGTCTGGACACAACCAATAAAAGAATTCTCAGGTTAAATTCCAGTCAGTATCCTCATAGCTGACATTCATGGCTCGATTACGATGCCTATCAGGGTTGAGACCCTCAATTTCACGATACTTCAAGAGCCTTAAAATCTCCACATACCCGTCATAAACAGAAGCTCGATAACCAATAATCATGACATTTAATTTACAACCCACTTAAAGGGGATGCTCTTACCACCCCATTAAGCGGGTCTCCCAAGCCTGAAGTATGGTGACCTCTTCCATCGCTGTCCTCTGCTCCGAACAAGTGCGGCTATGGTAGTGGAGGGCTCTTGTTTTTAGGGTTCTTCAACGGGGCATGAAGGTGTCTGTGGCTGGGCATCCTTGGATCTGGATATGCAGTTAATCCCCTCGCCTGAGGGCAATCAATGCTGCTCATCATGCACATTCACTCGCAGGATCACCTGGAATACACAACAACACTTGGAAACAGGTAATACATAATACAGAATACACTAGCAGTCACAGCACAGTACAGAGCTGTTTACAATTACAACTTGATACAAAATATACTAGCAGCTTTGGTTACAGTACACATCCGGTTACAAAACTCTTACAAAACTTGTATTGCACAGGGATATGCTGAACCCGATTTCCAGCAGGTGTTGCTCCCCACCTATAGATGGAGCCTTCAATACAGGGATCTGCTTAAGGGGCTTGCCCTTATCACCCCGTTAAGCAGAACCTCCTGAATATGAAGTCCCCCCCCCTCCTTCCCCCGCCCCCCAAAAAACGATATAATCTACAATAACAGTGAATAACTTCCATAATAATCTTGAATTACCCGGGGACGGTCGCCTGCGGATACATCTCAAGAATAAAATAAAATTAGGAAGCCTTTGGATACATCTCAAGACTGCTGCCCTCAAAAAAAAAAAAAAAAAAAAAAAAAAAAGTTAAAACTTAAAAAAAACACAATGCGCAAAATCTAGATGACAAGGTATGAGAATCAGAGGCAAACTCAGGAAACATCAGGTGAAGGGGCAATGGACACCAAGTTTTTCAACCTAGCAAAGGTGAGAACAAGAAGGTGCACCATAGATGCTCTGGCCAGGTCAACCCATGGGAGAATAAGGCTGCTCTGGCTGCATCTACCCCTCGTTGTGTCAAAATAACGAGGGACTTTTTGAGAACGTTTTCTCCTCACATGACGATTGCATGCCTGCTCTGTATTTCTTTCTTGGTGAAAACTCAACTTACAGGGACGAACGAGTGAATGCTGCAAATTCCAGCTCCCAGACTACGCGATTGAATGAGCAGGAGTACATGTCTGACGGGGTTTGCAGAAAGGCAATTAGTCATTTGGAACTATCAATGTGGGCTTTGTGGAACCAAAAGAGAGTAGATAGTCAATGCTGTCACTAAGCTGACATAAGAGTGAGTGTCAACAGAGCTATAACCTCAGTTCCCAGCCCATTCGCGGCTATTTGACACTGGCGACAGAGCTATATATCAGTCCCTGTCTATCTGACTATTCGATGTGTGGCTATCTGGCAATTTAAAACTTCTGTGATTCTGTGGGTCGGCAACTGTGGGCAGACAAAAGAAAGCAGGGAAGCAGGACTGAGGTGTGTGGCTCTGTCTAGCATTGCTTGAAATTATCAAGTAGTTTTTAGAATGCAGAATAGGATGGAGTCGCAAGCATCGTTGTTGTTGTCTCATTTATTCTTAGCAGCATTTTTGCTTATCAGCATGTGCTGGGTACCACTTTGCTATGGTTGGGGCCACGATGGCCACACAATGACATGTGCTATTGCGGAGAAACGACTGAGTGAACCAGCTTTGGCAAAGGTGAATGAGCTCCTTTTCAGTCCCTATGCACGCAAGGATGGACAGCGCCATCTCGCAAGTCTTTGCAGCTGGGCTGACGATGTAGTACGAACTTCGAAGTACCATTGGTCTGCACCGCTTCATTACGTCGACACACCTGATCTCTACTGTGGGTACGATCATCATAGGGACTGCCACAACACTCAGGGTCAAGCGGAGATGTGTGTTGTGGGCGGCATCTTGAACTATTCTGCTCAGCTGGCACCACGAAGAAGAGAGCATGGCAACAGTGGCAGCGGGCAGCTCTCACCTCATCTTATCCTTGCTTACCCTTCTTCTTCCTACCACCGGTCCTTGGTTGGCCGCATGCCCAACGACCAAAGGGTAGTCCTTGATATACAGGCAGCCAAGAAAAATCTCACAGAAGCCTTGCTTTTTCTCAGCCACTTCCTGGGGGACATCCATGAGCCACTCCACGTGGGGTTCACTAGCGACAGAGGCGGAAACGAGATTCATGTCCGCTGGTACTCCGAAGAACTCAACCTGCATAAAGTTTGGGATTTTGGGATAATTCAGCATGCAATAGAGATGTTTTACGGTGACGTCACCAACTACACCGATTATCTTATTGGGAAAATCAATGGAGAGTGGAAGGAGAATGCTGATCAATGGTCTCAATGCGATTGCTCTGCAGATTATCCAGGTGCGTGCCCTGATGTATATGCGAAAGAGGGTATTGCACTTGCATGCAAATATGCATATGCTGACGTAGCAGATGGTGACACTTTGGATGATGAATACTTCAACTCGCGACTGCCTGTAGTTGAGATGCAAGTGGCAAAGGCGGGTGTTCGGCTGGCATCGATACTAAACCACATTTTCAGTTCCCACTCCCCAAATTCAGATTGAGAAGGCTGATATCCATTCAATTCAACTGTCAAGAGCCATGTGCTCTCCAGTTAAGCTATTTGGTAGAACCTCAGTGGTTCGCTGGAACATGAAAGAACGGGTGCACCCCGCTGCAGCGGCTGGGAGTAGCAGACAAGGCCGAACAAAGATCAGCGAGGCTGAACAGATCAGAGGAAGTCTGCAGAAACAACCAAAGACAGTCCTGATGATCTGGCGGCCTGAGTACGAGCCGAAGAGGCTGCAGGACTGACACTGCAAAGGCCGACAGACATGCTTTTTCTCACAATGGCCGATCTGGAATGACTCTGTGGGTAACCAGGGCAGACACGTCACACATGCAATGCTGGAAGGACCCAATTTGTTGAAACAATACGATGACTTCCTTACTCAAATATCAATTTTTATATAGGTCTAGACTCTAGATGGGATTTCTTTATTCTTTGTGGTGTTGACTACGGGCTTATTTCACCGCAGCAGCCATGATTATAGCGTTGCCAGCTGGAATCAACATATTTAGTTGGATCGCAACTATGTAGGGTGGTTCAATACAATTATCAACACCTATGTTATTCGCTGTAGGATTCATCTTCTTGTTTACCATAGGAGGACTTACTGAATTGTATTAGCTAATTCTGGTCGCCATGGTGCAAAAGGTGCCTACAAAATTTCCCATCACGGAGAAGAATCGAAACCGTAGAGTGTTATGAACTTGGTTGTTTGACAATTCGATTGCCACTCACACTCAGACACACTCACACACGCCCATACATGCATGAGAGAAAGGGGAGGAAGAGACAGAGTCCACCTGCACATAGACCAGGGATAAACAGCGGAATAGCAACCATGCACAGATGGGGAGAATACACACAGTGTTCTCTCTCTCTGATAAACTCCCAACAACCGATCACTGCGAACACTTTCTCCTGGGCAGGCACTTCAAGATCTTTTCTGATCATTCCACTTTGCAGTGGTTGAAGTCCCAGGGAGAGTTAAATGATAAGTTGGCACGTTATATTCAGTTCATTGATCTGTTTGACTTTGAACTGAAGCATAAGAAAGGCTGCTACAACAAAGTAGTTGACGCCCTCTCTCGTAGGCCTGACTCTTTTGCGCTGATCTCCTCTACTCATTCCTTTGGAGAGGAGGTCCGTCAGACCATTGCTCGTTCACTGCCTCAAGATCCGACTTATGGACCCATTGTCAGGAATCTGCAAGCAGATCCCAACTCTGAACCCGACTATGCCCTGAGTTCAGGTCTGCTGTATACCTACAGCAGAGGAGAGCCAAGTCCAATCTCCACTCTGATACCAACTGTTATGAACTTGGTTGTTTGACAATTCGATTGCCACTCACACTCAGACACACTCACACACACACATACATGCATGAGAGAAAGGGGAGGAAGAGACAGAGTCCAGAGGGTTGAGCGCAACAGGGGCACCTTCTTCATCTGGCTCTAACTGGCGAGAAGGTCCATGGCGGTTCTTCATCTCCAGTGACTATCCAGCAGGGAAGAAGGGATACAAGCGGTGACTACAGGAGTATCAGTTGCGATTGATCAGGCACCCTGAGCCTGTCTGAGTGCCTGACAGGAAGTGGCGAGGATAGGGTTATTTCGCCATCCACCCTCCTGACCTCCGTTGATGACTGGGTCTAGGGTGGCGAAATTTACCCTAATCCAGTGAGTACTGGGTGGCAGACTCAATCCCAGTATAGCGCTGAGGGAGGATTGATCGCAGGATCACCTCCTGCTAAATTAACCCTACTCAAGGCTAAATTTAGCACCAGCGGCTCATACCTGCAGTGGCGAGATACCTTCAGGAGAGTATTCTCTCGCCACTGAGCCAGATTCAGTGAATCTGAGGGTGTGGGGTGAATCGCCACATCATACTGGGCATGATCATCAAGTTTCAGGAGATTCTGTATGTGGGAAGCTCTGGAAGACTGTCTGCAAGTACTGGCGAGACCAAGGTTGGCAGGCATAGCCAAAACTTCATCATCCACTGAGGGTTATACTTCAAGTGAGTGCGTTCCATATGAATCCCTGAGTAGCGATTAGTATAGCATCAGTAGAAGTAGGATTAAGGGTCTGTCTGTCAGTAGTGTAACAATCGTGAAATTGTCAGACTGAAAGACAACCATATCCATCTTCTTCCTCCCTACCCTGACTCATATCTCTCCATCTATGGACCTGTTCTGACTCAAAACTGTTCTGGGACTGCCTGACAGTATTGCGCTGCACCCTGTATGTTCATTCTCTCAATTATGTGTTGGAAAAGTAGTAATACTGTGGATTTGAGTTTTGCGCTGGGTCTATTTATAGTCTAGGCTACCTAGAGTCAGTCATAACTCAAAATCTGACCGTCAGAATTCGAGTCTGTCAGTCTGGGTGAATCGCAATTCTATTTTTAGCATTCCTGCTAAAGCACTATTCCAGAAACATCGTATTTGAGTCATTACAGTACAATCCTGAAATTCGCCATATCTGGGTGTATTTCTGTTGATGTCAACAGTGGCGAAATTTGAGTTTGGGGCTGTCAGGGGCTAGTTTATCAAATCGCTGCTACTTGTAATCTTGTTTCAGTTAATTCTTGCCCGTTTCCTTCAATACTACTAACTCTTTCCGCTTTCTGATGGGCTCTTAAATGTTAGTGACCCCTGGAATGCTGTGAATGTGCATCTTGCAACTACAGTGAAAGTTCAGTGTCAGGTATAGGAAATCGTTGGTGCATGATTTTACTGGACATTCAGTCAACCTGACTGCTGACCCCAGTGGCCCTATTCCAACCCTAACCGCTTGTGCCCACTGACCCACATTACTCTGTGAATTGACAGTGCGGCGAATTCTGAGAGTCTGTGTGTACTAAAAATCGCTGCACCCTCTGCTGTTTCATTTGTTTGTTGTGTTGTTTGGTGGGGGAAGATGTCTGCCGCCTCTGACGCAGGTGCAGGGAACGTGGAAGTGGTAGTTAAGGCTGAAAAACAGCCTTCAGCCTCAACTCCTCCTCCCCCTCCCTTGACTCCTGCGCAGCGACGCAAGAGAGAGATTCAGGAAAAACTACGAGAGCAACAGGCGCTGCTCGCAGAAGCAGAGAGGCAAGAGGCTGCAGAGCTGGAAGCTGCAACATATGCTTCCAGAAAAGAGCACCTGCTGCAGCAGGCTCAGAAGACTTTTGTGGATGCTAGAGTGGCCCAGTGTACCAGGGACCTGGCTGAGCTGGTATTGTTACAAGAAAAGCTTACAACCAGCCATTTCACAAACTGGGACGAAAGGATCCAGAGGCTGGAGACCAGAGTGTCTGATCTGGGAACTCAGCAGTCTAAGATCATGACCATCCAGAATCTGACTGCTCAGTTAACAGCAGCCAACCTGATCTCTCCTTTGGTCCCTGTGGGCCCCTCTCCTAAACCCCCAAAGCCTTCTCAGCCTTCCTCTTCACCTCCTTCCTCTCCTCACTCTTCTCGTAAGTCCTCTCCCTCTGTCTCCTCCCAGGCCAAAGCCACACCTCCTCCCACCTTTGTTGTTGTTGTTGCTGGGGACCACAGAGGTCCCAAGATTCCTGCACCCAACAAATTCAAGGGGGATGACCCCAAGATTGATGTGGGGGACTGGACCGCTGGAACCCGGGCCTATCTGAAGGGGTTCCAGTGTCCGGAGCAGCAAAAGGTGGCCACCGTTGTTGCAGCAGTTGTCCAGCAGCTGCAGGCTGCGCTGGGGGCCTTTCAAAAGGCCGGGTCTCCGATACCAACTGTTATGAACTTGGTTGTTTGACAATTCGATTGCCACTCACACTCAGACWCACTCACACACRCCCATACATGCATGAGAGAAAGGGGAGGAAGAGACAGAGTCCACCTGCACAYAGACCAGRGATAAACARCGGAATAGCAACCATGCACAGATGGGGAGAATACACACAGTGTTCTCTCTCTCTGATAAACTCCCAACAACCAATCACAGGAAGACACTGCGAAGATCACAATTAGAAAGTAATCCAGATGATGAGCCAACTCAACACAGTTAACCTCAATTATCATTACAGAGTTCCACCCAGTATCTCGCCACTCAAGTACCACACACTCCACTCACTACTACACTCTCAAAGTCTAGCGCTGCACAGAAACAGCCTCTCAGAGGCCAGCGCCATACACCCAGATGCAGATCATGAACAGCGAAGTAGTCTCCAGTGCCAATGAGTCACTCTGACGATGAAGAAGGCAGCTATGGCTGCCTGGCTGCTACCGCAGCACTAGTACCCACATGTACTCAGTGAAGAGCCCCGATATAGTCCTGCCAACGCAGATATCCCCCAGGGACAGATGCGCTGAGCACAGCCCCAGCTATGGCTGTCTCAGGTAGCCGGCTATGGCTGCTTCACGGCTGCTGAAACCTCAGGTGCCGCTGTAGGTCTTCAGCGCTGCTCACTTGGTTGGCCACAAAACCTGCATGCGAAAAATGAAAATGCCAAAAGTCCTGAATCGATTTTCCTCCAGGACTTATAGACTCTCTACTCTAGCCTAGACCTAGACCGGACTGACTGGACCTACCGGTACCGCTGCTGTTTYGGCCTCTCGGCCTCTACYGGACCCGGCTATAGGCTATAGGACCGTATAGCAGTATAGGCCRCTTAGGGCCTGTCTGTCCTAGGGTAGCCYGGGCCTGCTATAKGMAGTTAGGGTAGCTGTAGGAACTCGGTTAGTACCAGGTCTGTATTTTTCAGAAATTACAGATCTGTCCCTCACGAATTTCCACACAGGCGGATCTCTCGGTGCGCCCTCAGCCAAACAAAATTACAAAACTAACCCTACAGGTTAGTATACAGCCTCACAGTCAATCTCGGCAGCAGAAATCAGCAAGTCATTGCAAGAGCACATCACATCTTTCTGCAGTGCCCCTCATCACTGCTTTTGTGTCGTTGGTGGGACAGGATCTGGCAGCAATCAGTCCCGGGTGCACCGCGGCCATGGGACTGGCAGACGATCCTGACAGGCCACTGCCCTCACATCCAAGACAAAATTTGTTCCGCTTAGGCAGACGTTCCATCCTTTGGGTGATATGGTGGCCGAGGGGTATTCTGGAGATGGAGGGGGCAAGGGTGGAGGAAGGTGACGTGACAGAGCAAGTAAGACAACTGATACAAGCGGAAATCACCAGCCAGTGGCAGGCGGCCAAGGAAAAATTGGATGTAGCTCGCACCAGAAGAGATGTCGACAGGATCATTTTCCGTTTTAGCGAGGATCGGCTAGTAGGAAAGCGGGGGGCCTGGATGGCGGTGGTAATCTGGGCAGGAGATGCGCAGGGGCAACCGCAAGGAGAGGAGGAGGGGCGGCAGGCGGACATGGTGAGGGACTATGGGCTGCATTTTCACGATTGGAGGGGAGTCAGCCCAGGCATCCCATTGAGGCTGGCACTGGACTTCGCAGATCCCTTTCCCCCTCATCCGCTATCCCTGGTGGAAAGCCTTCAGAACATAATCCGAGATACCAACCAATCGGAGCCACAGGGTGCGGGGGCAGGGGGGGAGGGGGGGGACTCCGTTGCCCCCCGGAGCACGAGGAATCAGCCAGGACCCTCCCCCCTTCTCGAAAAAGCAACGACCAAGAGTTCATCCCTTCTGGGGTGCCAGATGGAGGCCCAGCTGAAGGGAACGATACTGAGCAGGGGTGATCAGCATCAGTTTTCTGCCTGCTCAGCTGAAGCTTGGTAATGGCGCTGGTACTATTGAAATTCTGACACATGGTTCGCTGGACCCGGTTTCCAGCAGGTGATGGCCGCCACCAAAAGATGGGGCCTCCACCGTGATGCTAGTGGTGCCTGTCCTCACCAGCACCACTAAAGCAACACCAGGGCTGCTTTTTTTTTTTTTTTTTTTTAATTCTGGTCTTGACATTGCTCTACATGACACTTACGATGTAGTAGCACAGTTTCATTACGAACTTTTTATGGGGAGCCGTATTCGCTCTATTTGCAGCATTCGACTATTGGAAAGGCAAAAATCTGTGGACTTCAATATCCAGAAACCTTAGGTCAAATTCATTTTTTGATTACTTTTTTTGGTTTCAATTTGACTTTCTTGCCTATGCGTTTCTTAGGTCTTGCGAGCATGCCACGCCGCATTCCGGATTATCCAGACGCTTATGCCAGATGGAATGCACTGAGTAGTTTTGGCTCTTATCTTTCTGTTGTAGGAATCTTTTTTTTTTTTTTTTTTTGTGGTTGTTTATCTCACTTTAACCAATGAAGTGCGAGCTCTGCAAGCGCCTTTGGCAGTTGAGCCAAATTCAACTACACTTGAATGGATGTTACAAAGTCCTCCCTTTTTAGTCGCTCTCTGATAATCAATAACGTGGTTTTGGCCTCCCTCTGGTATAAATCAGCTATCTGGTCAATTGACAAGGAGGCACGACGACCCCTGCAGCGCCAAATAGAAGCCTTCCTATGGAGAGACAACCACGAATAACAACATGTTATCAATAGAGTGGTGTGGCAGTCAGTGATCCAACCCAAACCTAAAGGTGGGCTAGGGATTATAGACCCAGTGACATAGACAATGGCGCTGGCCCTACAATGACTGAAACGCTTCCTTTTCAGCCCCCTCACCCCCTGGAAAGCCCTGGCTTTAGGGCAAACAGCCAGACTTGCCCCAGAGACTACACAAAAGGTGGACCCCCTCACATGGTTAGAAAACAGGGAATGGACAATCCCCAAAAGAAGAGCCTATCAACAACACCCCCCCACTCACAGACAGAATGGCGGCAAGACTGGACCTGCGAAACAACCCAAATCCTCAAAATCTGGCGCTCCCTCCCCCTACCTGACAAAACACCTCCCACGAGATGGGAGGAAGTTTCCAGGCAAACCCTCTTTGGAAACCGCTGGGTTACAGACTCCCAAGGAGGAATCCTGCATTCCAAGGACACCCCTTGGAGAGGTTGGGTGAGGTGGAGAGTGATCAGGATAAGAGATATCTGGGACACTGACTGGAGGGATTGGATCCTACCTGCCCAACTAAGGGGCAGACTGCGCTACTGCCATGGACCGAATGAAGCACTGGAAAAGCTAACGGATCTGATTCCTCTGGACTAGGTAAGAATACTCAGGAAAGGCCCCAAACTGATGGAATCAGACTGGGTGGCGCAGAAGGACAGGCAAGGAACAATAGGCAATATAGTGGATCTGCACACAGACGGAACAGCAACGATTAACCTGTTCAATCTGTAGAACAACCAGACCCTCCACAGGACTGAGTTAGACCAAACAGAAAATATATGTGCCACAAACCTGTTCAAAATCAGGGTGGTCCAAGAGCGAGAACACTGGGTGGCCTTCCACCCGGATACCCCATCTCCCACCTGGCTTTTGACCCGGCGGAATGGCAATGGACCACCCCGACACGACGGGGCAAAACCTACACCAGACCCTTATAGAAGATGACAGTCAAAGCAGTGTACAAATGTCTTAGACCCAGACGAAATCTGCTGGACCAACGATGGATGAAACACCTCAACGTAAGCAAAGAAACCCTTAAACCAATCCGCTGGTTCCAGGCCACCCAATCAAAACCAGCAAGAATGGCCTCCCTGCAATGGCAGGTGGAGCACCGCTGCCTCCCAACAAACGATTGGCTGATTAGCGGGTCCTCCCTGGAACAAAAGGGGTTGACCCTGCCTGGGTGCTGGTTATGCACAAGTGCCTTCCCATCAAGGAAAAGACCAGAAACCATCGAACATATATTGCTCCAGTGCCCGGGCTCTGTCTGGCTGTGGAGATGGTGGGACAGGATCTGGGACCAATTGGAGACAACAGTAACCTGGCCATGGGATTGGAGAGCCCTGTTATGTGAGACCTCACCGGAGCAGGCAGACGGATTCACAACCAATCTTTTTTTTTTTTTTTTTTTTTTTTTTAAGCACAACTCCACCGGTGTTAGTGATGCTGATAAAAGCAGACACCACTAACACCTGGGGAGAGGCTCCATCTATTGGTGGGGAGCATCACCTGCTGGAAAACGGGTCCAGCGTCCCATATACAGCCAATGGTACTGTCTGAAAACAATGAAACCAGCAACTGTGAGATCCCCTCCTCTGTGCCTCTTCACCCTCCAAAGAAGGGCGCCATCTAAAGCTGATAAGGCCAGGCACTAAGGGGCGTTGATCTATATTTACGACTAAGATCTTTTAACCCTCGACTTCACTTTTCCTTCATCCATACCACACCACTGCATTCCTACCAAGCAGTTGGAAGGGGGAGAAAGGGGTCAGGGAATTCTTCAAGAGGTTTCAGAGGTAAAGGCTGTATCGATTTTGACCTAGCCATGGGACATCGGACAGAGACATGCTGATTCCACCCTCCCACCCTCCCCCCTACTAGCTACAAGGTGCCGTTTCTCCCTTGCCCGATCCTTGTGTCTTGTTGCTTCCTTCTGCTAGGAATCCCCTCCTCCATACAACCAATCTATTTAAAACAGATAGGAAAGCCATACTCTGGGCACTGTGGCAGAGGCGTTGCACTTATGAGATGGAAGGGGCAAGACTGGAGGGCCAGGAATTCACCGAAGGAATACAACAGCAAGTACAGACAGATATTTGCATCAATACTGGACCTCCTCCTCTCACCAAAGGAAATAACACAAATCATACAACATTTCAACTCCAACTGGCTGGGGGCCACCCAGGGGCCACGGATAGGAAGGGTGGAATGGAATTGGAAGCGGGAGGGAGAGGAAAACGACCAGAAGATTATCAGGGGATACAGTCTGAAATTCCACGAATGGACTAAGGTGGAAGCATCGGTCCCTATGAGGGGCCCAGAGGACTTCCCAGACCTGTTTCCCCCCCCAGCATTCTCGATGGTGGAGCTAAGCGGGTATGGAATGACAGAGGACAATTGAGCATATAAGACAGGCAGTTTGATAAAGGTGAACGATCTCAGGACAGCACGAGTACTTTGAAACG